GTTGTTACGTTCTTTACGGGAAATTACGGACCTCTCACAGTTGCCCCTGGAACATATCCATCCGCCACCTCAAACTGTGAATGAAAATGCTGTCTATCGCAGAGGTCTTCAACAGGGGGTCCGCGCCCCCTAGAGGGTCCACGGAGGTACTGCACGGGGGTCGCAAAAGATTTGGTTGATTAGACTTATTTTTTTATATTCCCCGCTGCAAATTTTTTCCACTAATAGAAATGTCTTTAAAAACAAATTAACACGAATTCAACACACTGTAGTAAACAGATAAGTGGAGGCAGAAGGTGTCTTTCAGTCATCAATGCAAACATTCAGAGACACACAGGAGCTCTTTCAAGCTGGGCACCATTTCATTCACAACACCTGCCCCATCAACCTGGAATCAGAATCAGAAATACTTTAATAATCTCAGGGAGAAATTACTTTCATTACATTACTTACTCCATCTGTAATAGAGTGACTATAGGACCAGTTTGATATAACACAATTTTATACAATATATGTAATTAGGGGGTCCCCGCTCCATCTCGCCATCAATTCTGGGGTCCTTGGCAGGTGCGGAGCTAGATGGGGGGCCAGAGGTGGCCATGGCCACCCTTAGCCAATCATTGGCCACCACTGTGGCCACCCTTACCAATTTTTTCCCTCTAATACAGATGGTGACATCAGTAATAGTCTTAAATGCATTTTAACTTTTATATATATGATTTACTATTTTTTCCATATATTCATAATTACTTGACAACAAAAACACTCTGATTAATTATACAAATCAATACACTGATATTAAAGATTATAAGTACACAATTCCTGCTCTTTTCAGAACCAGATTTTGTGTTATATGGTGTGAAGAGAAAATGATGTCACTCTGCAAGTCATCTAGGAGTCTTCAGTGAAGTCATAGCTAAATAACAATTTTCAAAACGTATTAAATATTCAATTTAAGTAGATATTAGTACATTTAAATATCTATTTTATGCAAAATGATTATTGCTACAGGTAGGTAAGTAATGACAATGGAAAAGATTGAAGAACTCAAACTTCAAAGAATTTTATCCACTATATCTTTTATTTAGAAAGCATGGATATTTAAATATATACGCCAATTTGTTAGCAAAGGCTGTAGGAAAGTATAGTTAGTTTTATCTTTGGCTTCACCCTGAGGTTCTGGCGCTTATTCACTTTCGGCCACCCCTCAGTGTCCATTGGTTATTACCCAGCCACTCTTATAAACGTTTTCTGGCTACGCCTCTGGTCCTTGGAATGGAAAACGTTGAAGACCCCTGGTCTATCAGCTAAATGACAGTATCGATTAATGATGGGCCACATGACATTAATCTCTGTGTGAACGACACAGTATGTTATGCGCACAATATGCACATGGCCTATAACATTTATTGTGTATATGCGTACTAAACTGCGTGAACAGGATGGGTGAGAAAACTCATTGTGTTCTAACTTTGATGGGACAGTCCAATATTTTTCTGAAAAGACGTGGTTCACTCAACTGCGGTTACACCACATACACTTAGCAGTAATGGATCAGAGATCAGGTGCAGAGAATTACACTTTTAAAAAAATTACGTTGAGCATTTTTTAGAAATGTGATTTTAGTCTGCAACATTTTTATATAAATGATATAGAAGCAAATATAACACTATAGACAAACTTTATATAGTTATTGTCATTTAATAAAATGTATATCCATATAAATCATCTAGTTGTTGTGGTGACAATGTGCCAGCAGAGGGCGCCATAAACCAACCGAAACAGTGTTAGTTTGGCGTTGCTGGTTTCTTGAAATATAATACATTTGCTTCTTACCTAGCATTTTGAGACTAAATAATAAACTACACAAAACATGCATTTCAGATATTGATTGATTAAAATTAAAGCTTATTTTTCACAATGACAATAGAACAGAAATAGGCTTTATTGTTTCTTAGAAAAGTAATTGAAAGTGTAAATAAAGCAATCAGGTATAGCAAAATAAAAAAAAAAAGCTTATTATCACAAATAATTGGATAAACTATTTGCAGATTGTGTATTTTAGCTGCCATACATTAAACCTCTGTTCGTCATAGAATTGGCAAACATCATGTCCCTACTGTTAAAATACAATGTTATTGATGGGAACATTGAGAGATAAGAAAAAGAAAGATTAGCACAAAATATCTTAAAGTCATGTTTGGAACATTATTGAATCTTGAGCAGATGGAGGAAATGATGAAATCAGCGAAAGCCTGAAATTATTTTGATCTGTTCTTGCTTGGTGATTTTTTTTATTTAAACTCTTTATTCAAGATCTGTGATCATGCACACCCATTAGTCTGTCTTCAGAAGTTCTTCATGGTACTTAAGGGACACAGAGTTATCCCTCCCCCACACTCAAATTATACTTCATTGATTATGGGAATAAGCCACATGAAGTGACAGACTGAAGTGTCTTATGTCCTCAGCTTTAATCAACACCTCCAACTAACACCTCCGGCCAGCATTTACGCATTTACCAGGGTAACAAGAATACTGAGCATTCTTTTTCCTGGTTGCCCCGGTGATGCTAATTATAGGGTGTGGGAGGGCTCTGTGGGATGACAGAATTCTGAAACGGCCATAACGACGCAGGAGAGAGGCGTTCAGGGACACCCAGTGACGAACAAGGTCTTAGTTATACACACAAGCCACTCCCTGAAGCGTGAGCGTTCACAGGCTACTACACAGATTCCCCCAGGGACACGTGTGTATGCCTGCCCTACTATGATAATTACTGTGGTGAGATCACAGCACTTTGTGTGCGCATGACAGGCATATTTGCACATATGAATGTCTGTACGAAGTCACAGTTTTATGAGGATTTAATTTAAATGGAGTTTATGTCAACCTAATGAAGCTATGTGCTTTTATTAGGATGAAGAAGGAGCCCAACTGAGCATTATTGCTCACAAATATGCCTCTTTTGCTTAAAACAAACACACATAAACTCAAACCAGGGTGGAAAGTAAGTCAAGGGCTACTAAGCAAGGGAAAAGGGAAAAAGGCCCGATTGGAGAGCAGGGAGGAGTATAAAGCTGACTGGATCAAACATAAAGTGAAGGCACAGACAGCTGAGGAAGAGAGACTGAGACTGAATTGCTTTTCAGAAACGGGGTCAGAGAGGTTGAATGCCGAAAGAAGGCCCAAAGAGATTAAAAGAATATTGACACAGAGGGAGTGATTCATGTGTGAGCCAGAGGTGCAGAGCCAGAGAGAGAGAGCTGGGTGTTTGGGTTTAGAGGGTGACAGAGACAGAAAGTGCGTGCGGTCAGAGCAGACTGACTATTGTGGCAGAGGAGGAGGAGGTAGATGGGTTCGGTTCAGATGGCTCAGCTTGGCTCTCTTTATACTGTAGCAGGGAGGAAGGTCAGAGTGAGAGCAGCTGTCGCAAAGGTCAGCATATGTCTAGGGAACAGACTTCAAAGAGATTTTGATTAACATAGATTAAAAAGCAGTTTGTGATTTAGATTATTATTAGTTTTTTATGATATCTTTATTCTTCAAGTTGCTTTTTTAAGATGCTTCAAAGCCAAATTAAAGAAACTTGTGATGGCAGAGTTGTATGATTTGTCTCCCAGTGGATGCAGTCCCTAAAGCCTTACTAATAGAAATATCCAGATGGCCATCAACACAGGAATGGATGCATTCAAAAATATTTTGAGGACAATATTCAAGGCTCTTTTAGAGCTGGTCTCGAATACTCTAACTACATTATCTTAATCATAATACAATTGGTGGAGCAGCAGAGCTAAAAGCTGGACATTTTCTGTTAAAAAACTATCTGTTTTAAACCATAGACTACTGGAAATTAAAAATGATTAAACTGGTATCTAAGGCAATACTCTAAAGATCCAATATAATTTTCATTCTTTCCTTCAAAAATATACGAATTACAATTTAGGATAATATTTATCAATATATCTTTAAGTTTTAAAAAATACAAGACAAGTTGACTATATTATTCATTTTAAATGTTCTTTGTTTATTGATATTTGGAGCTGACTCTGCTGTCTGCTGTGACTGCATTCTATATCCTCTATCGTTTTGAAATGATTGAGAAAAAACGTAATATGCAAAAGCATTCACAGGTTTTACTTTACATAGGTAATAAACATTCATAGAGCATCTAGCTGCGAAGCTTTGAAATCTTTAGTGCCTGTGCGCTGATATTGAGTTCTTTCAAATTACATATTGTTTTTGTTCTACTTAATCATATTGCATCTATTAAATATAATAAATAAATGATAGTTTGTAGCCAGAATCTCAGCTATCATAATGTTTGATTAATAATGAGGCAGATGTCTGTCAAAAGAGGTTTAATAAAAATATTTAAGAAATATATAATTGATCATTGCTGAAGTACTTGCTAAAATCTTTGCCATTTTCTTCAGAACCTCGAGTTATATTAAATATAATAAACAAAACAAGCTACAGTATAGGAGAAGCTCAGAGTAAGTAGCACATACAAGATTATGATTATCAAACAGTGGAGAAAGTTTAGAGCTTTAAAAGTTTTAAACATCCTCTGGTTCCATGAAGTATGTTAGCTTTACTTTTTTTATTTGTGCTTTTCGATTTTATTTCTACAGATTGAACATTCATTCTAAAACAGCATATAAATCACTTCCTGGTTTGTTCTTGTTTTTTATTCTATAATCTTTTCATTCTGAGATTAAATAAATACACTGCTTGCATATGAAACAATAATTACAAATAATTTATAGACATAAAAAAACTACCAACCTAATAAAAAGGCTGGTTTAAAGATTTTCTTAAGAGTTTTTCGGTATAAATAAATATTCACCTGTTTCATCTGAATAATCTCCTTCAACGCAGAGAGAAAAATATAAAAAGGTAAAAACATGTCAGAAATGACTTCATTCTTCTGCACAGGGACCACTGGCTTTAGCAGATAAACCATGTGCACGTGTGTTTAGCCAAACAGGATGTGTTGCCAGGAGAAAATGTTCTTTCAGTGACTTTTATGTGTGTGCAAGGTGCACATGTGCATTGTTTCACAGACGGACTGGGAGAGAGGAAAATGGGGAAGTCGAACCATAATCTTGTGTCCGTGTGAAAGTGGTGAAATGAGTTCCATGCCTCTCACAATTCATGCATTTCTCATTTTGTGCCAATTCATCCCAAATGTAGAAGGAGCGGAAGCAAGAGAAGGGAGGAAAGACCTTCCATAGGGTGAATGATGTCAGTAACACAAGCCTGTGTGTGTTTGGAGGGTGGACAGTTTCTTTTGTGACTGTCTGCCTTTTGTTTGAGCCCATGGGTGGGATGAGAGCAGGCTGTCGTGCTCCTTTAGCGTTGCTCCATGTGACAGGCCGTGGGTCTGCCTGTCTTTATTTAATGGTGGGTATGTGAAGCCCTTTGTTTGCCGAACAGACTGTGAGACTTTAGTTGCAAGACAATGCTAAAACACATGCATGTTAGTCGTTGATCGGAATAAAATGCAGAGAAGCTGTTAAAGTTGAAAGGTCAGTGCGTGTTAGTTTTGATGATAGAAAAAATTAAGAGGAAAAAAAGCATGATATCAATAATATTTTTTTTTTCTTTTATAGGTCACATGTTTAAGGTTTTGGTTATTCAGGTTGCTTTTCACAGCATTTATTTCCTGCCCATCGTTAATTGGACCTTAAATTTGACCTCACTCGCTGTGCTGCTTGCTTTCAGTGAAGGCAGGGTTGCCTCCTGCTTTTTTGCTTTCCTCAAAGCTCCACCGATCCTCCTGGAGTCCAGACTCTCCTCTACCCCCCTTACTCCTGTATGCAGGCCTCTGTCTTTGTCTGTGCAGGTAGGGGAGGGCTGGAGTGACGCTGGGGAGACTGGTGAGCGGTTAAGAGGCCCTCTGGCTTTACCCTGAGGATAAAAACGCTTGTTGCGTGGCGAGGCTCTTCTCTCCAGGGGATTTGGAGGAGGCCCAGAGGCGCCCTGGGGTGACACTATGGATTGGCGCCCAAAGAGCTCCTGACGGGCTTGAGACAGAGCAGCAGTCAGCTCCTCCCTCTCCTGACACTCCCTCCATACTGTTTCCTGGAGTAACGCCACCTGGAACATGATGAGAACCGGCATAAAACTAACCCACTTTAACTCTTTTTTCCACATGAAATACATAAACTAATTAAACAACCATTTGCTGATTTGCACTGTAAAAGGAAGTGGAAGATAAGTCAAAAAATACTAAGACATTGTACTTATTCTACAGCACATAGAGAAATAAAAAGCTATGTGTCAACATGTAATAATGTATTAACTTAAAATGTAACATTAGTTATTTAATCCCATACATATCAAAAGGAATCTGTGAACTGAAACATATAATTTTACAATTTTCTTTTAATTAGATAAACCAAACAGAGCTTTCTAAAAATGTTCAGCTTTTTTTAGACACCTAAAATGTGTTTTTCACATTCGCCTATTTAAAAAAAGGTTTATCTCCATTATTGATGGGGTATCTTTACCAATAATTTAACCAAATACCATGTGGGTAAAGAGGCAACAGACAAATAAAGAGTCTAGTCTTACATTGAGAAAACCTTAACGTGTGTAAATGTGTGTCAAATTTGCTTCACTAGTTGATGGTGTGGACTCTATAAAGGAAAGCACAGGAAGTGGCATGCCCCCTGCTGGTGGATAAATGACAAAGGAACTCAAGCCAGAACCAGAGCCGATGATGGAGTAAATTCCCTACTAGTTCAGAGAAAGAACTGGTTAGACTCTGAAACAGAACCAATTCACCTCATAGATTTTTTAAACTCCAAATTATTAAATTTGAGTCCTGAGGAAAATGAACTAACTTTAAAAATTGCCATTTATTATGTACTAGACAAACTGGATATATGTGTAAAACCTCAACAACTAGCTACTCTAAGAGCTTTTCTTTTTTTAAATACATTTTTGCATCACAATTATTATCTGATTAGTTCTAACCAGACCAGTCCTGTTCCTGCCTTTGAAATGCCAAACTGATTTGCCATGTTTAGGGCAGAGGTCAGTTTGGCTGCCAAGGCTTCTACACCTCTGGTCCTGCAGCAATTCCTCCCTTTTCTTATTGGGTCTTGTAATCTAGAATGGTTGTAATATCAGGTGTATTAATTTACACGAATCTTTGAATTGGTCTCATGTGCATGCGTGTGTTTGGTTATTAGACTCGCAGCCAGGGTGTTTGGGAAAAAGAAAGCTAGACATACGAGACTTCTTTAAAAGTCTAAGTGAAAGTTATATTCAAACTGTGTAACATCCTTTTTCACACGCTTTTTCATATATCCACTTCAAGATCCTCCTCTGAATTAAAAAGCTCACAATAACCTTGTAACGTATAATAGTTTAATTAAAAGTGCTTATAAATCAAATATATTATTGTTATATATTATTAACACCACCAAAAAAGCAAGAAATATAACCTACAAATGTAATTTTATATATCCAAACTCATAATAATTGTAAAACTATGTGTTTTTAATCCACATGGATTGTTGCACCCCAAATTGTCCAATTGTTCATGCCATGCATCCATATAATTTGTCAGCAGTGAGAAAGAAGAGATGTAAGAGAAAGTGGAGAAAACAAACACAGAAGAACTACCGGTACTAGAAAACCCACTGAATTAACATATAATAGTTAAATTTCAAAAATACTTGTATCCTCTCCACTTCTGAAATCAAAATTTCATCCATGCTCAGTACCACAAACCCATACAATAACTGGTGCTTTTTTAAAGTAATGTGGTTGATCTTAAGCGTTCGATAAACAAGGACCCAATCCAAGATGAATGAAGGCAGATCTAATCTTTCTGCACCTCATTGTTTTAAGGACTAGTCAAAATATTTATTTGAAGATGAAAGGTTTGTCAAATATGGTGGTTTTCTGATGGATATAAATGAAGCTGAATAGGATCTTTTACCAACACACACTTACAGATAACCCATTTCTTAACCTGCCATTTCACAACAACAGGGATTAAACGGGACAAACAAAATTTAGAAATATTCATCAGGAGGTTTATATAAAGGCTTGCCTTTATAGAAACCCTTTAAGGCTTCAAGTTTTCAAGTTAAGTGAGAAGGTTGGGATGCTTTAGAGAGATAATGGAGACTTAAAGAACAGGCAGAGAGCGAAAGAAAATGCAGCAACCTGCCACTTCAGTGTGAAAATCAATTTCATGGCTACAGAAAAGGTGACTGCTCTGAGCAGCACCGATGACATTAAAAAGGGGCACAGTCAGAGAGACTCGGTCAGCAAGACCCAACAGGCAAGTCACCCTAACACAGCTGTAGCAATGCTGCAATAAAAGCACTTAGACTCTTTTTGGTAAAGGTGCACAAAAGCTCTGCAGAGCGACCAAATAAAGGAAATCTTCTTCCTCTATAATTAAAGAACAACTTAAAATCCACTGGCGGGAGCAATATGGGACAGATTACAACCTTTACATCCAGAGGACAACTGATAAATAAATGTTTTAGACATTCGGGAAAGAGTGATTAGAACCAGCAACACAGAAAAAATTGGATGATATACAGAAGCAGGTTGCAACATACCCAAGGCCAAAAATGTGAAATAAAAAGTCATTCTTTCAGAGCTTCCTGATGAGGTCACATGCTTTTCTAACTAACATGGAGCAAGAGGTTATAAATACAGCTCCCTGGCCCATTAAACCACAAACATGTGTCGTTTGAAAGGTTTACATCATTAAGACCATCTGCCATTTGATAACAGCCACGTGTTGTTTGCATCCTTCTGTGATTAAATGTTAAACCTAAACTCTCCCATTCAGCAGCTATAGAAGACTGCAGCAGATGCCCGTTGGCAGCCTCCATGGGCTCCTCTTGTAATTAAAACCATGCTCACAGTAAATGTTTACAGCCATTTTTGGAACGTGTGTGTTCAGTTTAACTATGAGGACGTTGGGAGGGTTTAGGACAGACGTTAACGCATCCATTTTGGATTATAAGTGATAATTGTATAATGATCTTCAACATTCAGATGGGGATTCAGAAAATAAGTGACAAGCTGTTTCTCCTTCATGGATTAATTTAAATGTGAAGTTACTTCTTCCTTTAGGATGAAATAGTTATAATCTGACTTTAGAAGAATAGTAAAACCATTGCCAATCATTAAATTAAGGAGTTTTTTTCAGGATAAGGTGAAGTTATTGCATCATCCAAGTTTGGTAGCCTTCCTTTTGCCTCTCTGTTGATTGTTTTGCAGTTTCCCTGCACAGATGTACTCCACATGTTGCAACGTGGAATAAGACAACCTTAAGAGAACATGTTGCTAATTTATTAATCAATGTTCTTCTTTTTGTTCATCTTTCTGCTCTCCTGATACCAAAGCTTATTAAGAATGCTCTTCAGTCTTTAAATTACTGCCTGAATTACTGTTAATTGATTGAAAATGTGAATGATTTTGCACCCAACACACGTATTTTAGTTGTTAGTTGGAAACTACTTTTCTAAATGGCTGTCCTGCCATGACTGATCACATTTTCCACCCATTTCTATATATACAGTCCTCCTCACCATTATTGGCACCCCTGAAGTTTAAGTACATATGATGGAATATTTCCTAAAGAAAAGACAAAAAAAAGAACGATTAGTCTTCGCAAAAGAGAACCTGGACAAACCTCAAGCCTTCAGGGACAACATTTTATAGACAGATGAAACAAAAGTGGAGCTTTTTGGTAATTCACACCAACAGTATGTTTACAGACAGCGCAATGAAGCCTTTAAAGGGAAGAACACCATACCAACATTCAAGCGTGGTGGATGATGCATAATGCGGTGGGGCTGCTTTGCGGCATCTGGTACTGGAGGCCTTGACCGTATCACAGGCATCATGAAATCAGAAGATTATCAAGAAATTCTAGAGTGAAATGTCTTGCCCAGTGTAAGAAAGCTTGGTTTGAGGCAAAGATCCTGGGTCTTCCAGTAGGATAATGACCCAAAGCACACCTCCAAAAGCACACAGGCATGGTTGAAAGGGAAAAAAATGGACTGTTTTTAAATGGCCAGCAATGAGTCCTGATCTCAATCCAATTGAAAATCTTTGGGTAGAGCTGAAATCTGCCATTGGAGAAAGGAACCCTGCAAATGTACAAGGGCTCGAGCAGATTGCAAAAGAAGAGTAGGAGAAAATGCCACCCGAGAAGTACAAGAAGCTTATAGATGAATATAAGAAATGTTTGGAGGCTGTCATGGATGCCAACCAAATATTGCAACCAAATATTAGGGAGGGGTGTCAATATTAGTGCACATGCTGGTTTTCTGTTTTGTCTTTTGGAATTAAAATATTTGTGTTGAAATGGTAACTGTCTTTCTTAAATTATTTTGGACCTTAAATTGAAAGATCTTGCTGATATAACTTTTGAATATTTCCATTTATTTCTGAAGATATTCACTCGGCTATGCAAAACATGAAGGGGTGCCAATAATGGTGAGCAGGAGTGAAATAGAAAAATCAAAGTGAAAGGAGTTTTTCCATACTTTGATGGGTATGGGGTATTGCAGTCTAACAAAATGAGCCAAATGATCCCCATTCCAAATGGTTGGACAAATGGTTGGTTCTTCTTTGAGCACACCATTTCATTTCAATTTCACTAGTTCACCACTTTTTTCAACAGTCCACACTTTCTCTGCTTTTTTTTCTTTCCCCATTGTCTTCTCTTATCCCATCGCCCGGCTTGCCACAGGTTTGCCTGCTGTACCTAGAAGTAGCTTTCAGCAGTGACCCAAACGGACACAGCTCATTGGCTAATTTGTATCACGTGTAGCCTGGTGCCGGGGCTCCAGACGGCTTTACCATATTAACAAGAGAAGCGGCGCAAGTGAAGTCAGACACTGTCATCGGAAAACGTGCAGTAATTTATAAATGTTTTAAATTAGTTTGGTCCGTGGCCTCTGGGCTAGAGGATGGCCATGGCTTCTTTATTAATGTAACAAGCAAAGAACTTTACACCACTGGCTTCTGGGAGATTGTGTCCACTTTCTCTTAATATATTAATCTTGATTTGATCAGTGTGGACTCCATGTGAACTAAAAATGAATCAAAAA